ACAGGCTCTTGTAAAAAGTCCTTTTTATTTATTTCCTTATGGTTAACAGGTGAAGTTGAGTGGGAAGATAGGACATTCTGCAGACATCATTTTAATAGACCATAGCCTTATTGTTACAGCACTAGGCGAGACGGTCGTCAGGTAAGAATCCTGTTTTAAAGCTGTTCTGGCTGCCCCTGAGAAGTGCCAGCTGAAAGGCTTATGGCCTGCAGTGCACTGAATATTTTACTGAACTGCTTTGGGTTTTTCCCCCAATAATGAAAAAGCTCTCAATATTTTCTAATTTTGTTTCTCAAAATAAATAGAGAAATGAAATTAAAAGATCTGTTTCCTTGAGGACAAAAACTAATTCTATATATCTGTTTTTCTCTCTAGTTGTTTTATTTTGTCAGGCAGTACTACTCAAATCTATTCTTTTCTTGAGTGCTGTTATGATTTCTTCAGAAAACGTATGCGTTTGGGTTTTCTTGCATGAAAAAGATAGCCCCTTTGCTGTTCTTTCCATTGTTATTGTCTGACTCTTACAATAGTCGTAGCATCAGCAACAGAAAAAAAAAAAGGGCTTGCTTTTCAGGATGTTTCTGGTACTGTGATATATGACAATTATTTTTGGTTACTTCTAGCCTCATTCTTTAAACTAAGTACATTATTCTGCCATGCTGCTATATTACCATGTTCTGTAGTTTTTATTTTTGCATATTTTTAAAAAAATAATTAAATATTTTCTTTCCTGTGTTTGCTATGACTTGCTCTGTTTCCTCTAACTATTTTTTGGGGTGGGGGTGTTCCATTAACATCAGTTAATTTCTTGAGCCTCTGTCTGCTACTGTCAGACAAAATTATCTGTTAATTTTGTGAGATACTGATAAAGGCTAGGTATCAAGAAGGGATGTGTTTGCTGACAATATTTAGTTCTAGAAAATAAATGTGGAATCCAAAGAACTACTGGTTAACCAAGAAATATTCTTAAAATAGAGGAGGAAGCATAAGTAGGGAGGAGGAAAATTGCAACTAGGCCTCACTTTTCTTTTTTTCTTAAAGCTGGGTTTGCTTCTGACTCCTTTCTTCATAGGAGAATGTCACAGAACATGCTGCAGAAAGTCGAAGGAAAAGGAAGGAGATTGTTAAGAAATTCACATTCCAGAGGCAGCTGCTGGCAATTTAATTATAAAAGTTGAATTATCTGGGCATTATGGAAATAGAGAATTAATGCCATGTTACAGCATCCTATTGACTGTGTTTAGCAAGACACCTGGAAGGAAGAGCATTGTTAACACTCTGGCTTTGTGTACCTTAGGTTCTGGGATTTGGACCGAGACGAGAACTATGTACTGTCCCCAGATGTGCAATTTGGCTTTGAGGGTGGAGAATGTATTAATTGTATTTCTTACTGCAGTGCTAAAGGTGAGAAATAACGTGACAGCTTTGATCTCTGGATCCTAAACCTTTTCAAATCTCAGCCTTCAGTGCCCTGTAGTCACTTCAGTATGTTTGTCTTGTTACTGAGGGTTTCAGTAACAGCATGTGATGCAGAAATGTCTCAGTTCAGATCAGGAGTGTGCTTTTGAAGGTACAAAGACATCACTCGATACTCCCCACAGTTTGTCTCAGTGTGGCGTTGTCTACTGGCACACAAGCTGGATTCCCTTTGATGACACTGAATTGGTACAAGTGCTCCTGGAGTACATCTGATGGACTCCAACATGTCATGGGCATTCAGTCCAAAAGCCCACACTAAAGTTAATGCAAAATAGAACTCACCAAACATGTATAGCATGGATGCCAGGTCCTTAAAACTGATGTTTTCTACAGAGTTGCTCCTACGCATCGCCTTGTTTGCCAGTGTAGGCATAGCTACTGTCTGCTAGAATGGTTCATTGGTGATTTGCCCATTTTCATTTGGTGATTTTGGTGACTACAAACCCAGCTATTCAAAAATAAGGGGTTAAAATTAAAACATTGTCTGATACATCTGAAAGATAACTTCACCTGGTAGCTTAGAAAATGGGCCTTGCCATGTGAAACTTCTCCCATTGTTTCCCCAAAATGTGTCTCCAGTTCAGGTCTAGGATGCTGGTTTGCAGGGAGGAAGAGAAATGGATGCTGCCAGAAAAAGGCACATTGGAGCCAGAGCTAGGCTACCTGTTATTTTATATAAAGTAGGGTTTTTTTCTGAAGTTTGATGTGAAATGCCTAAAAACTTTGTGAATGGCAGGTCTCTTAGCAGCTGGTACTAACAAAGGGAGAATAGCTATGTGGAGGAAAGCCGCAGGATCCGATCAGAGCATACGGGCTTTGGAGGGCAAAGAGAAGTGGAAGCTCCAGGCACCTACAGAACTTGAAGGGAATGTCACTCAGATAAAGGTAAGAAAGGAAGGAGTCTTCTTGCACTTTAGCAGGACTTCACAAACATCAGATGGTTCAGATGATCGTCATGAAACAAGTGAATATGATTGCTGTCATACAGATATGTGCACCAGCAGAGGCTTGTCCTCCTTCTGAAGATGAAGGAAAAACCATCAGGATCAAGTAACTTTTGAAATTGAAATGGGCAGGAATATTACCTGTTTGGAGCTATTCTGTTACAGGCAAGGTGGAAGTGCTCAGCAAGGTAACACACTGAAATGCAAATACTTCTGTCTGTCTGGGAGAATTAGCGGTCATGGCATCCTTAAATCCAAACATCTGACTGTTATATGTCTCATTGGCAAACCCTTTGGATTCAGAACTCTGAAATTATTTTCTGGAAAAGTCAGATTGTCAGAAATGTCAAATTTACGTAAATTTATTAAAATAGAAAGCAAAATCTGAGTAAATGCATGATTTCATTTGTAGGTAAGTTTCTTCTTTTTAGTTGCTTTGTTGAGAAAGTTTGCTCTTATTGGTGGTTGCAAAAATAAAAAGATGAATTTACAACCAAATGTTATTTGGTGAGAAGATGTGCCATCTAGAAGGGAATGGTGTACTTTTACACACAGAATTATGTTTTCAGCTGCTTTTTTGTCAGAAAATGTTTCTTGTTTGCCAGATAATTTTTTTATGTACGGCCGTGTCAGACTAAATGTGGATGATAAGTTTTGTCTTACAAATTTGTAAAACCAATGCCTTAAAACATTTCTACTGCTGTATTTTTAATGCTGAAGCTTACAACAATACATAGCATTATATATATATTTTTTTAAGCCATTGCCTGTTAAGCGTCAGGGTGCAGCATTTTTATTTACTTGAAATATTTTCATTTGTCACAGTAAGCTTAAACACTTTCATTCTATATTTACCAGTGTTTTGATATATGCAAAAGAGAAATGATGAGTGTTACAATTGTAAGTTTAAATTAAAAAAGTTTTACATTAGCAAACATTTTTTGAGCACTTTTTTGCCATTTTGCTGAAAGGCACAGCTTGGGCTTTTAGGTTCTCCAGTATTTTTGGTTTCTTTGTTGTACCCTATTATAATTTTTTTCCCTTTTTTTTTTTTTTTGAGTTTCTGTTACAATTTAGGTTTTTCTTTTGCTGTGCTTAATCTGTGAGATTAATACCCATTATTTTTTTATATATCTGGTGCCTTTCAAGAGAAAGTAATTTTATGTTTTCTTTTATTCTGGTTTCACATAAGAATGGAAAGTACATAAAAAGCAATGGCATTTGCTTGCTCTGGGTTGGCATATAGCAAGAGTCTGTATCAGAGTCCTACTTAGAAAATTAAAACATAAGTACTGTTGTTACATGCGAGAACCCAAATCTTTTGTTAAGATGCTTCAGTAACAAAAGGTCCAGGATATAGGAAATAGTGTGTGCCATTAGTATATCATACATCTGCTAGTAAGTTGAGGGAGGGGAAGAGGTATAGGTGTTTGTGTCAGCTTGACCATTCAAAGGTTTTCCAGATAACAGGATATGGAGCACTGTCCAGAAATAGCACCTTGTTCCCAATATTTGTTAGGATAAACAAAAGCATTGCCAAACAATTGTCAACAATCACTGCATTTTTATCTCATGTTATAAAGGTGTCTTTAATTATGGAAACTCTGATTATTTTTTATTGTAACCCCTGCATTCATAAAAATATTTTATAAAAGATTTAAAAAATAGTTACATGTGAAGTCTTTTGGTAATTCCTATAAAAGCCTCTTCCTCCATTACTGTGAAAAACAGAGTAGAAAGCCAGACGCCATGGTGAGGTTAAAGGGCAGTAATAACTTAGTCTGACTCCTCGCCAACCTTGTCTCTTTTCGACCTGATAGGGTGGCTTCGAAAAAGAGGTGGTTGGGGAGTGTGCTCTAGCTTATCTGTTGTGCAGCACAGTATCTAGTTAATTGTAACTAAGTGCCATTAACAAGAGAACCCTAAACAAACTGTACAAAATGCTTTTATTTTTTCAGATCATGCTCTTGAATAAAATGAAATTATTTGCAAGCACAGCTGTTTACATTTGCAAACACAACTAGTTAAGTCAGTGTTGTTTGAAAGGCATAGCCACAGAAATATCAGGATGTCAGGAAACTCATATGAAACTTCAAATAACTTTGAGGGAAGCATTCTAATAATAGAATTCATCAGCTACATACTTAAACCTGTGTCTTTGCAAGCCATCTTGGACACAAGTTATCTTTCTCCATTGAATTTGGTAAGGTATTTTCAGTTTTAGAATTGCTCTATTTTTCTTATCTTAAAAGGAGGGAAAGATAACCTTCATAGAAGTCATTGAAAAAGAGTCAGCTGGAACGTGGAGATTATTCCAGAAGGGGAGAAGTGTACTTTTGGATGTTTTATTTATGCATGTGATTTAGCACTCTTTGCTAGGGAATTTGAACTATATTACCTGAAAGGGCTGTCAACACTGCAGAAAAGAAGATGGTCATCAAAGTAAACTGCGTCCAACTTTGTTTTACAGGTCACAGCATTATTAAGTCCTTTAAATATGTGATGCTGTCTTGCAACAGTAAGTGTAAGGTGGTTCAATAATACCTTAGGAAAGAAAAGTGGTTGTAATTCAAGACCCAGCTCTTCCACTTAGGCTAAGTGAGTCTGAGTTAGCTGTGTAACAAGCATAATAGTTTCAATCTGCAATGATTCTTAGTTATTGACTATAGTTGTATTTAGATACTAGGGCTTGGTTTATGTATAAAAATGTTCATTCTATCCTACCCCTTGTCATCTGTCTTGGGACATTGCTGTGACTGTTCAAGATCTTGGATGAAATCGTGTGGTGTGCGTTATTCTTTTTTTTTTTTTTTTTCCCCCATTGTGTGCAGTGGGGCTCCCGAAAAAACCTGCTGGCGGTGAACATCATCAGCTCTGTGGTGATCCTCAGTGAACAGGCCATGTCTTCTCATTTTCATCAGCAAGTGGCCGTTGTACAGGTGTCTCCCAACCTGTTTAATGTGACCGTCTTCAGCACAGGAGCCACATACAGTCTTCGTGTTGATATGAATGTTAACGGAGTCTTCGCTACTAAGGTTAATTGCTTGGGGTTTTTTCATTTATTTGCTTGATCCTTTGCGTGTTTAGGAGACCAAGCTTTCTAAGTCTTTTAATATAACCCTTCTTTGATATTCAATTTGTTGTGTAATGGAAGTATTGTTATGATGGTAGCAATGATGCTGTGGTGGGGCTGGTTTTTCAGATAGCACAGTGACTCAGTAATTGTCTAGGTGCTGACCAGAGAACCTCTGGGTTACCAAAAGCCTTCCAACCCAATGTACAGGGGAACTAGTAAATGGTGACTATTGTGTGGAAGGACTTGCTGTGTTATTTCATGAATTCCTGTATGATTGCAAAAGAAACTGAATTTATGTATTCTTTTGCTGTTTTGATTGTTTTAGGATGCTGTAGTGTTCTGGAATGGGAAGCAGGTTACTGTCTTTGAGTGCTCAGGAGACACCTTCAGAAGTGCAGGTAGGACTTAGAACAGTGGTCACAGTTGAAATGGTTCTCTTCATTCATAATAGCTGGTGGACTGTAATCATAAATGCAAAATGAAAACTATTATTAATATAGTTAGACTTTATATTCCCATTTTGCAGAACAGAAAGATTAGGGTATAAAAATCATCAACACAACCAGAACTTAAATGCCAGCTACTACATCTATGCTTTATTCACTGAGTATGCTGGGATATAATGTGTGGATTAACCTCAGAATATGTTTGTATTCCTGCATCTGAGTAGCAGTGCAGCAGGAGAGGTAAACCCAAAGGTAATGTGCATCTCTAGCCATGAATTAAATACATATCCTCTTAACCTCTCTTCAGCTACTACCCAATCCTGGATGTACCTAAAGACTAAATGTGCTTCATTCATAGGGTTCCTAAGGCATCCGAGTGTGTGACTGGTCTTGACAAAACCAAACATCTTACTGCTGTTTCCCACAGATGAGATGTATACCTGACTGTCACACCTAGACTTGGAAGGTATCCTCAGAGCTAGCATATCATGTAGGGCCTTGCACAAAACATGGTAGGAGAATAAAGCTGTTTCTTTTTATCTTTTAAATAAAGCGTTCCAACAGTTGATCAAGAACAGGTTTGTTTTACTACTTTCATAGCCGTAGCTCCAGTTTCCTTCTACAGATCGGTCATGATAATGGCTATTGAAGGCTTTTCTGTTTTGCTTGGGAGAAAGTGCAGTCAAGGTTATGAACTGGAAGGAGTGGGTTTTAGTCCCAACTGTCAGGCACATCTGTTCCATAAATTGCTGTGTGTACAGCTAAGTCAAGTAAATTAGCTTTTTTCTATGATTTATTCTCCCGAAGTATTTCTGCCCAGAGAAACAGGTTTTGCAGAATTCCATCAATCCCATCCAAAACTTTGAGAGTTTAGGCTTTGTCTTTTAAGAATCACCAAGTGTTTTCTAAGAAGTGGATTATCTTGTTTATATTTACTCATTTATTTTATAACTTTCCTATGCTGAATCAGTGTGTTATTACCACCAAGGTCGCAACAGTCTGCAGTGCTCTTTTGACAGATTCCTTTATCGCTCTTCAGTTGTAGTTCAACGAAGGAAAGAGTGAATTCTCTTAAGGGAACCTCACGTTGCACTGGTCTTTTTCTTTCACTCCCTGTATCAACTC